AACTCGTGACAAATTTCAACTAGGTCTTGCAAAGTTGAAGGGGAGGCATCCACATGTGGCGGGACACTCGCGGTTGGCACTTGAACCCGGTCGTTGCCATCACCCATGGCTAGCAGCTAGAAATCAGAAGTGTTTGGGGAGAGCTGGTTCGAGTTCTTCTAAATTGCTATTCATTCACCAAGGTACAGAAAGTATAGCCGTAACAAACAACAGACGATAAAACAGTGTCAACAATTTGCAAAAGTGAAGCACACGTTGCCATTGAACAAGAAACTGATTTGCAAAAACTGTAAGCGACTGATTGTGCAAATCCTTTTGGAAATGCATTCAACAATCTCGCCGGCGGTGAGATAAACGAGGAACATCGAACCTTTGCTTTCACCTTTCATCACCCCTGCCCCTGCCCCAGGTTTGGAAAAGCACAACCCAACGTTGCGCCAGAAAAATACTAACATTTTTAGGGAAGGAAGGAGGAAACACACCAACACCACCAAATGAGATTCCTGCTGTCCACTCAATGTTCCTCGAACCCAAAATGAGGAAGGTGAGAAACAAGACGCTCAGTTCATCGGCCTGGCCAAGAATCAAATGCGTTTTCCAAAGATTAGCCAATGCAAAGTGAATGAACTTATCCCATGATTTGGTGCGTCAAACAGTTTTGCCTGAACAATTACAAAGAACACCTCAGCACATTACAGAAAATTAGACCTTCACAATGTGAAGCCCAGAAACACACGCACATGTTCTTCCTCCCCTAAGGACTGAGTCGTGTTCCTGCTGCTGATAGCTGGCTGCCAAATCACCGACTAAACAAGAGTGAAGCTGATGCTTTGCTATGCTGCTACTGTAAGTGGATTTCCAACCACTGGTGAAATGGGAGCCCCTCGTCTCAAAGCTGCGAATGTCAAACATGGCCAAAAGGTGGAGCAGCGAAATTGAGTTTCAACCAATGAACCAACACGCTGACAAGTTGTTTGGAAAAGGAGACAGTCACATCCTGCTACCTGTTCATTGAACCACCAACACCACCGCACTGGCCACTCTACATTCAATCACCCCAAATGAAGAAATCTGGAAAAGGGCCCTGGTCACAGGCTCAAATCAGAACAAGGCCACACATCGCCCAGCAGGCAATTCCAGGTCTGCTGTCAGCACCACTTGGGGCCGAATAGGAGTGAGGCCTGTTGTGGCCCACTTGACGCTGTAGATGACTTTGGTGCAATGACCTCAGAGCGGAACCGACATGCATGTGCAGCTGGCGCACATCAGGTACCCGAAACAATCCAAAACATGCAGGAGATTGAATCCAAAAAAATGAAGCCGTGGTGCTGTCCCAAGCCTCAATGGGCAAAAGCGATGCCAGGTTCATCTGGCTGGCAGTGTTGTCACTCCCGCCCTCGTTCTCCACCGTCACAGATCCGGCAGGCACAAAGCGGACATCGTGAGTTTGGGAAATCTCAAAATGGCCGGGCTTCCCCTCTACAGGCTTGTCGGTCAGTGTGTGGTAACTCAGCTTGATCACAGGCGATGGTCCAGCTTTGCGCCGCTGCTCCACAAGGTCTCCCAAAGTGGTCAAAGCCCCATTGTGCAGCAACTGCTGCTCCGGGCCAGAAAGGCAAAACTTCACCTCCTTGCGAGGGTCATCCGCCTCGCCACCCGTTTGCCTCTTGAAGCGCCCACGGCCAAAGGCTGCAAGCACTGTTCCAGCTGCCAGGGAATGAGAAGACTCTGACTTGTTGATGAGGTATGGGCGGTTCCCTGTTTTGATGTGAATAAGCACGTTCCCCCCCTTGTTCAACATCGCAAAGCTTGTCCGCAGTCAAGCTGATTTCCTGGGCCATGGCAGAATCAAGACATCATTAATACAGGGAACGGTGCGCAATTGCATAAAATAAAAACATGCACCATGGACAAACAAGGCGCCGACGTTGGAATCACTTTGGCCCGATCGACCTTGGTTCTCTTGGCAGTCGATGGTGGAGTGCTTGGCTTCCTCTTCTTGCCCTGTGGGACTTCAGTCGTTCCTGACTTGCCATCTCTCCCTCGCCAGTGGGGCCGGCGCCAGTCTTGGTCTCAGTAGGTGAATCCTTCTGCTCCAGCAGGGGCCCATACTCCTCATGAAGCTGGTTCAAGAATTTGTTGAACTCCTCGCCAAAAACCCCATGTGTTGCCCACTGCCTCATGACCGTCCCCGGCACTTCAGGATACAGGTCTTTCCGGGAAACCATGATATTGAGTTTGGGCAACTCAAGTTCTTGTTCCAGAAGATCACTTGGGCATTCTGCAGCTCCCACAGTGTGCCCGGGGATCGTGATGTTGCCGTCCATGTGTCCAGCAGCCAGCATTTGCACCTGGAAATGAAAAGATACACAGCCATGTCGAAAAGTCAGTGACCGAGTCAACATGAAATCAAACATGTACAAAGATTCATCCAAATACAATCCTGGCCTTGCTTTCAGAAAACCATTCAGCTGAGATGGCATCTGGGACAATGCAAACATACTGGAGATTGAAATTCACTGATGGGCGCTTGGCAACATAGGCGTCAAACAGATTGCCGACACCTGGGTTGATGTCCACAATGAACAGGGCCCCGCTGCTGGCAATGTTCAGCCCGTCGATCACAGCATCCAAGATCTTCGTCCCAGCGCTGAGGCCAAACTGACAGGGAAAGCTTCACAATACAAAATTCAATTGTCATTGTTCTCAAATCCAATGTTGCACAAACCAATAAAACTCTGCACACACCCGGACCCGACCAACCCCATGCCTGCTGATACTTCTGCGCCCCCTGCACCGTGGAGTGGTCATCGTCCACACTGGTGGGCAGTGCGTCCATTCGCACGTCCTCAACCTGGATCATGTCCCTTGCGTGCAGCATGTCAGCATCAGCCGTCCTGCCAGTCTTCACAAGGCTGCAAGTCGACCAGACATGGTCCTTTGCCGTGGGGTGAAGAAGCAACCGGCCAGGATAGGTACAGGGCCGACCATCGCGAGCATCAGACTGGCGCAAAGAATCACAGCAGCAGCAGCAGCATCAAATGCTGAACAAGACAAAGACAACAGACCTTTTTCATATGCATGGGAACACTACAGAAAAGTGACTGGGGCCAGTGAGCCCAGCCTTCTTCCCAAAGCATAGATGCCATGAATGGTCTACATTCAATCCTGCCATGGCCAAGCTGCGCAAAGTAGCGGTCTCCAACATCCAAAGCTGTCCCTTCTTATAGGTAAAGATGGGCATCAACACTGCTCCAAAATTGTGCTCGGAGGAGATGATGGAGTGGGACGCAAATTGGGTCTGGGCAGATTGCACTGCGCTCTTCAAAGTTGACGGGGCAAGCCAGTTGATGAAGACAAAGTTGGCCTGGGGCAATGACATATCAATGTACGGCAAACGCAAGCTTTGCAAATCTTTCCACTTCAAAAGTAACAAGCATCCAAACACACAAGGGTAAGATGCTACCAAGTAGCACAAGCAGAAGAGTCCAAGCGAAGCCGGTTGATGACGTTTTGGCGGTGTAGATTGAACTCTGCCAGCATACCATCTGATGTCTCAGAAGTGATAACTTTGCAGTAGTTCTGAAGGAAGAACTGGCCTGCCTCAACACTCAACTCATGTCTCTTGACTTTGTGTTGCAGCTTCGTATGGTAGACGGTGGACTCCCAGTTCGCACGCTTGCCTGCTGCAACCTTGAGAGCCTGGAGGTCATATCGCAACTGCTTCATGACAAGGTCAAAACTGTCATTCTCGAGTTGCTGCATCGAGACACTGTCCTTCTTCGGGATCGGGCAAGTAGATGCATGCTGTGTCATCAAGGCACTGAGCGTGGCGACATCCCTGATGTTCGTGCATGAACGAGCCATTATGGCAGATTCACATATTGATCCTGCCAAGCCTGCTGCAAAGCCTCAGCCGAGACAGGCATGATGGCGAGGACCTCACTTGCCATGTTCGTGACACATGCTGCTTCCTCCGCGATCCTCTCCCATTGCGAACGATCCAGCTTGCGCTTCATGCCTGGAGGCATCTTGCGGTTCTGGCAGATCAAGGACCTGACCTTATGCTGTGAACAGGCAACCTCTGGATCACTCGACAATCGTTGACAGTCATGCAAACACTTCGAAACATGCAACCAGGCCACAAACAGCTCAACAGAATCCTCTGTGACCTTCCCACGCGAGACCCACACGCTGCCAGCAGAAACTTGCCCTCTAAACCTTGGTGGTTTGGGGTGGCCACATTTTTGAAGGGTCGACTGGTCACCACTGCAAAACAATTTAGTCAGGGAGCGCAAATCCTGGCAACCACTTCTTCGAACCCAGGCAGTCATCAGACCAAGGAGTTGCCTCGTACCCAACCTCCACAGTGTAGTCAACAATCAGTTTCCTCACCGCAGTTGGGACGGCATTGAGGATGTTCTTCACAGCCTGGGCCTTTGACCCTATCAATTGGCCTGCTTTGGACACAGATGAATTGTGGTCCTTCACCTTGGTCACAAATTGATATGTAAGCTTCACAGCAAACAGTGGAACAATGCCATGCTTCAAGCAAAACACACTAGGGTTCGGTCGAAAGAGACCACATCAAACGAAGAGTCCAACCCTTGCATTTGCATGATGCTGCTGATCCAGCTCCTCAACAAGAGTGTCCATCACCCCGAACACAGTCTGAGTCCAAAATAGAAAGACTAACACGCTCAGTAGGAAGTCGCTCAGGATACACTAGGCTTTGAGATGCACTCAGGCATGGGCACTACATTGGGAGCTTTTCGAATGCTGCCGCGGACGGACAATTTGAAATTGCCCAATAGTTCCAGGCGCTTCGATGCTAACACAACACGTTGGGCAACAATCGTTTGCAAGGAGTTGAACAGCTTCGGGTGTGCCTGAAGCCATGACTGTTGAGAAACAAACTCAAGCGTTGTGTAGCATAACACGATGGGACATGTAGAAAAACATTGCACAAGCCTCCTTCAGCGGAGTTGAGATGTGGTCTTTCGCCAAGCTCAACAGACACAGCAGTACTTGGACCCGAGTTCTTCCCTTGAAGTACCCGACTGACATTGGAAGCAAGCCAGATCGATGACCACTCTTTGCCCATGGCGAGGTCAATCCTGCCTGGCAGCAAGTGCGATGATTGACGATGCAATACATAATGCCAATTGAAGTTTCAAGAACACACATTCTTGAACAAAATCGGTCAAAAAGGATACCGCCTCCGCTTCAGCAATCAAATCTGCAGGCTGTGTCAGCAGCAATGGTTCTCCCTGGGTCACAAACCCATCTACCAAAATCTCATCCAGCAACAGATACACCACATCGTTCTCTGGACTCCCCCTCACACTGGCACTGGTGCTCAAGCTGAAGGAAGCCAAGTGCATGTTCAGCAATTGTCCCTGGAAGACGCACGGCGCACAAGCATGATGCCAGGCGGCAGTCTCAGACTGAGCAACATGGCTACACAGTGACAGCCCGCCTCGCTGAGCTTGTTCATTTCAGACACCGGGAGGTCCGCCACCACCGAGTAATTCTGGTCTCCGTTCACGTTCTGAAGCTCGGCCAAGTAGTTTACCCACCCCTGCTTCTCTGACAAAGTTCCATAGCGGGCCTGCAAATACTTGTCTGGACTGCCAAACTTCTTGACAGTTTCACGCATCAAGGTTCTCATGTCACTGGCAAATTTCTCTCCACTGGCTGACTCTGGAGGAATTGGAGCAAGTCCCCAAGACTCGTCCACAGTCAGGTGAGTACTGTGCTCGTCCACCTGGCCAAGATAGTTTAGCATCTAAGTTCATACAGCTCATACATATATCATTGCGCACACAGTCAGCTGTTCAAATGAGTGGTTCCAATGCCAAAACCTAATTGAATGTTTCAGGCTCTAGCTACTGAATTGAGCATCGCACCTCTGATGACTCGCGGGCGGCCACAGTTTGTGGTGTGCCTCCCTCCGCACTTTGTGACTCGTCCATGTGTGTGTCCATGGCAGAAAGTGCAAAATCAAATCTGGAACTACTTACTTGGCCCAAAATGAACCTGATGTATGAAAAACACCTTGAAGAAAGATGACACATAGAGATTCAAAGAACATCAAACAGCCCTTGACCCAGGAAAGCAACATACACCTACCTTGGAATGACTGGGAAAACATAGCGGCCAACTCTAGACGTGAATACCATTTTCACTTCAAAGTTGACTTCTGCATGAATCAACAGACTGGCATGTGCCACGCTCTGGCGCTACCATCTGGCAGTGCTAGCGACTTCTAAGCTAGCGACTCTGTGACAGAATGCCCTGTGGGCTTAATTTGACTCGGTCAAAAAGGAACTGCACCTGCCCCTCAGCACCTGCAGCGAAATCGATAGAATGGCAAGTGAGGGGAACACACTGAACGCATCTTGTTCTTGTGGGCAAGTGGCTGATGAATACAGGCTCTGAAGCAAAAATTGGGGAAGCAAACCACATCATGCCATTATAGGCAACATCCACGGTGAATGGTCCTTCCTGACAATTCTGACAGCATGGCATGGGCAGCCTAAAACACAGAGAATTGCACAATCAGTTTTGAGGAAGTGCACATACAGTGGTTAAGTCAGGCCTTGTCAATGTGGGATTTGAATGCAGAGTTCAAAATCCGGAGAAGCACAGGCTTTCGGACCTTGTGCTTTGGGCGGGACTTCTCGTACCAGGCTTCCAGCCAGTCAGCCATCTTAAGTGCCAAGGAATGGGTCGCCGACCTGAGAAAGGAAAACCAGTGTTTGAATTTGGGGAAGTGTGTCAACCAGAAAATACAATTTCCAAAAAGGCTCAGCCTATGACGCAAGAACAATGTGATTGGTCACACATTCTTTCAATGTTATGATCAGGCAGTCACCCTCCTTGACTGCCTCAACAGTGCCCAGGTCCTTTGAGATTTCGATGGACATGAGCTGTGATATATCCAAGCACAAAGGGTCCACTGCAAAAATATCCTTCTCTGCCAGTTGAAGCATCCCCAACCTTACACAAATTTAGTACGATGAAAGCAAATGGCAAACTTCTCCATTGATCAATGTCAAGTGATATATTTTGATGTAAGTCTAGGTACGCTAAGCCGTCGTGAACACCTCCGTCGCGAACACCATCCATTGCTTTGCAACTAGCTGAAAGCGCAGTCACCTCCGAGACTATTTCAAGACTTGGCGGCCCCCTAGCAGCCACAGTCACTGCGCAATGAATTGCGGCACGGCACTGTGATGCAACTGACTTAGCAGATGGTTTGATTTATAGTGACAAGTCAAGTGTGATATCGAAAACCAAAATATATTACAACCTCCAACACCCAAGCTCAACAAAAGAACCCCACTGCGCGCAACTCTGGCCAATGAAAAAAACTCCCAGGTCCAGCCTCATACACATCGCCCGCCCTCTGCAAAATGAACCCTCCTTCACCGCACAGTGGCGCGCACAACAAGACAAAAGGGTCCACACCCAAGACTGCGCCCTATGTCCTACTTAGCAATTTTCAAATAGGTTTGGGACAGAAAGAAGGCCCACAATAAGCCCCTGATAGCTGCTCAAATTTTCAGTTTTGGTGAGGTCAGAAGCTAAGGGTTGAAATTTTCCCTTTGGCATGGGTCATGGAATTTGGTCCCCTCAACTTCCACATCAACTGCCCTAAACCAATACTTTGGAGGGGCCAAACAGGACTTGGGGGACCAAATTCCATGACCCACGCCAAAGGGAAAATTGCCACAGAAGGGACTGTGGAGCCCAAACAGTTCTTGAATAGCTGTGACTTTTAATTTGCAGCTGTCCTTGGCCTGTTTTTCATCCAAACTGTTTCTTTAGACAATGATGGTGACACAAAAAGCAAATGTCAAGCCACTAAGATGGTAGCAGAAAAGAGGAGGTTACTGTTGGCCCCAAACAGTTTTGGAGGGCTGGCCTTGGAGTGCAAACCAAAAACTAATAAGTGAAATTGCGATCATGGGCAAATCCAAAAATCCAAGCGAACTCATACTGAGCTTTGGGGGGGGGTGAGATCGCTTGAAAACAATTGTTTTCAAGCGATCTTCCTGTGATTTGCCAATTCCAAGCGATCAGGGCATCTCCAAATCTAACCCCCCAGTTTGCTTGGATCAAGTGAATCCTAGGGAGATCGCTTGAAAACAATTGTTTTCAAGCGATCTCCCCCCCCGGGAAAGCTCGATATGAGTTCGCTTGGATTTTGGAGCAAAGATGCACCAAGGAAGTTCAAACATCTGTGGGGCCCAGCTCAATACCAAGCGAACATTGGCCCACCCTCCACCCTGTTCGCTTGATATTTTTCACTATCATATTGGGGAACTAAACTCTGCCCGTTTTGAAACCGTAACGTTTAGGGTTTAGGGTTTGCAAATCAACTTTCTGAGAGACTGCCTTTGCATGACAAACAATGAACAAATATTTCTCAAAAAGGTTGTCCCTAAAGTTTCATGATTTGTATGCATCCATGGCAGTCCTCCTCCATCGAGAGGAACGGCGAAGGAAGCTGGAGGCTTGCCCTGATCGGGGTTCAAATCAACAGCAGCTAAACAAATCTGTTGAGTGGAAGAAATTTGTTGCGGCTTCTTGGAATTTGCAACAAATGCCCAGCCAACACAAATGCAACAGTAGTCCACCTTCTCAAGAAACGACAACATGTTTGACTGCTGCATTGAAATTGAAACACTTAAACTTGGTCACCCTCGTATCCAATATCCATCCAGGACCCCCAAAGAGTCACACGACAAGTAAGAACAGCACTGAGCAGGGCAGCCAGTGGCCTGTCACGACTGGGAAGGGTGAGCGTTGACCTTGAAACGGGCGCCAATGAGCACATAGTCAAAACTAGGCTGTTCGCT